TAATTACTTTTTAAAAATATCTCTTGTTTATAATTTTGCCACTCAACGATATCCACTAAGAAAACAGCACAATCACAATGTTTTGACTCAAACCGAATTCAAACTTGGTTCTTCTGACGTAAATCAAAAGCCTCTCCGTAATAAATTTTTAACATGGCGGAATCAGAATTGAATGATATCGATATGATATCCATCAAGTTGCCCACCTTTATGGATACAGCATCGAAAGGATGGTTCGAAATCGCTGAAGCCCAATTTAACCTCCGAAAAGTAAGTTCATCGGAAACAAAATTTTATTATATTCTATCATCGCTACCGGCAGATTTGGTAGCAAAATTGCCACAGTAATTGCTTCATGATAAAAATTATGACGAACTAAAAACAGCGATGATAACGATTTACGAAAGGACAAAGCCAGAATTGTTCGCTCGTTTGATCGGAGAAACTAAAATGACCGGCAGACCATCACACTACTTGCAAGAATTATTGGCAACAGCCAATAAAATTGGAATGGGAGACGAACTAGTACGTCATATGTTTATAAAGCCTTCCCAACAACAATTTCGCCAGTCATCGCAGCTCAAAAAAATTTCGATCTACAGCGACTGGGAAATTTAGCAGATGAATTAATTCCATTTGCTTTGCTAAGAACGAAATTTACGCTATGAACAGAGAAACCACGAGCTACAACAACAACACACTTTTCAACAAAACGAGTTCAACAAACAGCATTCCTGATACGAACATCCCAATCAACGTTCGCCCATTTTATAAAGACCAACGCACTCAAATCTGCCGAGGTCACATATATTTTGGCGACAAATCGAAAACGTGCAAACCATGGCGCAGATGGCCAAACAAAAAAAGTTTACAAATTCAACCATCATCAAGACCTCCATCTCCAACCCAGATGAGATCACCCACAAACAACATTTCTTCATCCCAGCCGTCGGAAAACGAAGTCGCATCAATCGGCTCGCCTCTTTTTGAAGTTGCCGCAAGAATTGGATGCACAACATTAAAATTTATAGTAGATACAGGCGCATCAGTCACAATCATCCCAACAAAATTTTCAACAGGATTATGTTTGCAACCAACTGCCGTTCACTTGTCAACCGTGAGTGGTCAAAACATTACCTGTCATGGAGAAACCATTGTTGAAATCCACATCCTACCATTGCACAGAACATACAAATGGAATGTTGTAATTGCAGATATTGTCAAACCTTTGTTAGGCAAAGATTTTTTAAGTCATTATGAAATCCTTGTCGATTGCACCAACAACAGACTGATTGACACAATAACAAAAAAAACGATTACAACAAACGTTTTGCAAGGTTCCGTTCAACAAATTCACATCAATAAACCGCCAGTTCCCCAGATAGTAACGAAACTCATCAATAAATTTCCAATGTTGATTGAACCAAGAAATGAAAATCAAATAAAAATCAACTCAAAAGTAAAACACATAATCAACACTGGTGAAAGCTAGCCAACATTTGCCAAGGCTCGCCAACTATCTGAGGAGAAATATAAAGTAGCAAAAGAGGAATTTACGTCTTTACTAAACGCCGGAATCATCAGACTATTTAAATCTCCCTGGGCTTCTCCACTCCATCTAGTTCCAAAAGGTACTCCTGGACAATGGAGAGCTTGCGGAGATTATCGTTGTGTAAATGCCATTACGAAACCAGACAGATATCCAATTCCAAATATTCACAGCATTTCAACTAAACTACATAGCAAAAAGATATTTTCAAAATTGGACTTATTAAAAGCCTATCACCAGATACCAGTACATGAAAACGATATTGAAAAAACAGCCGTAATAACACCTTTTGGACTCTTTGAGTACATGTTTATGCCTTTTGGTTTGCGAAATGCAGGATGTACATTCCAAAGATTCATGGATAATATCTTTCTAGGTACCGACTGTGTTTTTGTTTATCTAGACGACATTCTCATATTTTTAGAAAGCACTGAACAACATGAAAAAGATTTAGAAACAGTATTTCAAATCCTTAGCAAAAATAATTTGAGAATCTCCATAGACAAGTGCCAATTTTTCAAAGAAAATCTAAATTACCTAGGATTTTACATCAGCGGTGATGGACTATTTCCTACAAAAGAAAAAATAAACGAAATTGAAGAATTTCCAGTTCCAAATGATACTAAATCTTTACGTAGATTTTTAGGAATGATTGGTTTCTATCGCAAACTTATTCCACAATTTGCAGATATTGCAGATAAACAAAATTGAAGAATTTCCAGTTCCAAATGATACTAAATCTTTACGTAGATTTTTAGGAATGATTGGTTTCTATCGCAAACTTATTCCACAATTTGCAGATATTGTATTTTCATTAACAGAATTAATAAAGTTACACCCAAACTCAAAAACAATAGTGTTTTATAACGAAGAATTGGAAACCTTTAAAACCATCAAATCTAAACTTGCCAACGTAACAACACTTCCATATCCAGATTCAAAATGTACTAAATACCACTTAGTTACTGACAGTTCTGCTTACGCCATAGGTGCAGCACTGCATCAAGAAGTTGATTCAACTCCTGTACCAATCGGTTTCTACTCTAAAAAGTTAACTGAACCACAACGTAACCTTTCTACATTTGACAGAGAACTACTAGCAGCGTACCTTGCCGTCATCTAATTTAAATATCAGATTGAAGGAAGAAATGTAACTCTATTTACAGATCACATATCATTATGCGCTGCCTACAAAAAGAAAACACCATTAAAGTCAGACGTTCAAAAACGATATCTTTCAATAATATCCGAATATATTGCAGACGTCATTTACATCCGCGGTGAAGAAAACGTTGTTGCAGATTGTCTCTCTCGGCCAGCAAATGCTGTAAAGATAGATGTCTGTGACTTGTCGTCGATAGCCAAACAACAAGAAATTGATGATAAAATAAAATCATTCAAGGATCAGTTGAAACAATATCCAATTGGCGATAACAAAAAAATATTTTGTGATGTATCAACACCATACCCCAGACCATACATCCCAGTTAATTTGAGAAAAGCCATATTTGACAGTCTTCATAACCTCTCACATTCAGGTATCAAAACATCAATACGATTAATCAAATCCAGATATTTTTGGCCAGATATAGACAAACAAATAAGAACATGGTCAAAAGAGTGTTTAAGCTGCCAACAAAACAAAATTCACCGACACACGAAATCTACGATATCATCATTCAATTTACCGTCTGCACGTTTTGAGACTGTTCATATTGATATTGTAGGTCCGTTAACACCGGTCAAGCAAGGAAATTAAACCTATTCAAGTCCATTCAGATATTTACTCACATGCATTGACAGAACAACTGGTTTGATCGAAGCAGCGCCAATGACAGAAATATCAGCTTCAACAGTTGCTACAACTTTCTTGAACATTTGGATCGCTCGATTTGGTGTCCCTCTTTATGTTGTAACAGACCGAGGTACACAATTTGAGAGCGAATTATTTCACGAACTATCGAAAATAATTGGTACAACCAGTTATCCTCCAAAAGCCAACGGAAAAATAGAACGTCAACATCGTATCTTGAAAACAGCAATTAGTTGTCGTAAACAAAACTGGTTAGATGCATTATCTGTCGTTCTTTTAGGAGTTAGAAACATCCCAGATGAAAATGGAATATCTCCAGCAATAGCAGTAACAGGAACCAACTTATTATTACCAAGTCGATTTTTATTCCCAGATTCAAATGATGATATAACATCTAGTCAAATCAAACAGTTAGCAAAAGAAATGTTTAAACTTAATAACTACATAACAACTAACAATCAACATCACTCTACCCCAAAAGCTTACGTACTAAACGACCTTTCAAACAGTAGTCACGTATGGTTAAGAGTAGATCGAGTACGTCGTCCACTGGAAGCACCATATACTGGCCCTTTCAAAGTGATTGAACGTAACGATAAATATTTTAACATTGAACTGTTACCAGAAAATTTTCAAAATGTGTCAATTGATCGATTAAAGCCAGCTTGTTTATCATTACCTCCAACAACCAAAACCAGAATAAACAACGAGAATAGTTCGACAACGAACAACAAACCTTCTACAACAGATTCAACAAAACCAGCAACATCAGACACAAAATCTACTGGAACACCAGAAACAGCAACAACAACATCAGACGCAACAACAACACAAGAAACAAGACCGACGTCAACCACATCCGAACCAACAACCCAACACTCCAGAAAAGGGAGGCGAATAACATTCAACAAACGAAATGAATATTTTTATTTTTAAACGGCTCCGTCTTTTGTGGGGGAGTATTGTAGGGATCAAAAATTTATTTATTAACTATCTCATATATTGATTGTTATTAAAAATTATTGCAATTTTAAATGTTACCTAACTATGTTAATTTTTATGTCTTTGCTTCTCTCTCGACTTCTTCCCTTTTTTTCCTGATAGCTTGTAAAACGAAACGGTTCGAGATTCACGTGGGAATAAAGATAATATTTTATTACGCCTGAATTGTGTTTGTTTTATTTATTTTAACTCACAACAAGGTGTCTTGTTAGTTGCATAAGTTCGTACAAACAGGTTTTAATATATTTTAATTTTGGTTGGTAGTGTTAGGAAAATTGAGAGCATAATGGCGTTCTATTTTAGTATGGGTTTCAATAAACAATTAAATTTTAACTTAATTATTTTCTTATTCTAGTTTTTAAATTTTTAAATAATGTAAATGCGACGAAATTCCCTTATTGTTTCAATAATTTTAAATTCTTAAATAGACACTCCTGGCGCTGTATGAAAAATACTATGCACGAATCTACTAGATTGAAGGTTTCTATGAAAGAAAATATTAAAATTTCTCCTAACATTTTAACAGATAATATAATTAATAATATTGATAATAATTCTGATAATATTTCGCGGTGTAAATGTGGTAAATACTGCAAAGGGAGAAAGGGATTACTAATGCACCGTCAAACTTGCAAAATGTTCAAATCGCTGAAAAAAACCGTCCCGGACGTCGAAACAAATAAATCAGAAAACGAGCTCCAGCAGTTTCAACACACAACTACGTCCTCAGCAACTCCAAACCCACTTCCGGGTATTAAACTGCCAAAAACGCAAGGCCAATGGGCTGAGGCTAACGCATATTTTCATCAGAAATTTGAGGACTTATGTGTTGTTGAGGATATTAACCATTTTACCTCAACCTTCCAAAACACAATCTACAACTACTTCGCCAATACGTTTGGAACAGTTAAACCCAAAACATCAACAAATCAAAATTCCGTCATTAAACAACTCAAGAAGAAATTGAAGAATTTGAAAATCCTTGGACGCAACAACAACTCGTTCAAAAATGACATAATTGCTGTCAGCAAATTGATAAGGTCCAAGCTTCATCACTCGAAGCGTCTAGGTAAATTGGCTGATCAATCCGACGTTTCAATTCAACTATCAAAAAACTTTTGGAAAGCATGTAAACAAATTTTCTCGCCCACCACCACAACACCTCCATCATTCGATGTTTAAAAAGGGAGCAATTTCTTCTACAGCGCAATGAAAGCCGATGACAAATGTAATTACGACATTCCGGACTGGATCCCGTCTCTGCCGTTGCCCTCATTCGGTGGTGATGTCGGTCCTCCAACATACGAAGAAGTTTCAAACATTGTTCGTAGAAGTAAATCTCGCGCCTCTCCGTGTCCATTGGATCAAATATCGATAATAGTTTTCAAAAGATGTCCAATTCTTAGAACCTTTCTCCATAAGTTACTGTTAAAATGCTGGACCTCATCTACGATACCAAATTGTTGAAGAAAGGCTTTAACAATTTTAAACTACAAAAAAGGGGATATCAACGACCCGGCTAATTTTCGTCCTATAACCCTTCAACCAACCGGCTACAAAATATTTTCAACTCTAATAAAAAATAGACTTTACGATTTTCTACAACAAAATAAATTCATCAATACCAATATTCAAAAAGGTTTCTACCCGAAGGTGGACGGTTTATTGGAGCATTCCCAAATGTTAACCCACCTGATGAAGGATGCCAAAAAACACCAAAGAACAATAATCGTCGCACTGCTAGACCTCAAGAATGCTTTCGGCGAAGTTAGTCACCTGTTAATCAACTCGATCCTTTCATATCATCAAATACCGCAAATAATGAAATCGCTAATATTATCAATTTACTCTGATTATTCAACAATAATATCTGTCAACAGTGAACTAACGCCAGCATTGCCTGTCAGAAAAGGGGTTCTCCAGGGTGACCCGTGTTCCCCTTTAATATTTAGTTTATGCTTCAACCCCCTGATGAAGATTCTCAATGCTGAGCAGTATGCCAATTGTGGCTATTTCTGGGGACCAACTGCGGGTTTAAAAACTAGATCCTGGCTTCAGTTTGCTGATGATTCAGCTATAGTTTCACATAGTTCTAAAAATGCACAAAAATTGATTGACCTAAACTATGCGTGGTGCACGTGGTCGAACATGCAAATGAGAATAGACAAATGTCACTCCTTTGGTATGAGGAAGAAAAACGGAAAGTATCAACAGTTTCTACCAAAGTTAACTGTTCAAAATACGGCTATTCCAAAGGTCGAGATTGGGAACAGTTTTATATATTTGGGCAAATTATATGATTACGAGTGCAGCGACAAAAATGCTAGAGAGTCAATTAAAACAAAATTAACTAAACTACTGGAGACCACCACGAATTTGAACGTCACTCCTCAGCAAAAACTACAAATTCTTAGGCGATTCATTCCAACTTAGCTGCAATTTGAATTTCGAAATTATAACTTTTCATCAACATGGGTCTCGACAAACCTTGACGGCTTAATCGTGAAAAACGTTCGACAATGGCTGACTACACCAATCAGTAGCTGTGTATCCGAAATGCTTTCCCTGCCGGACAGGTATGGTGGCCACAATATCATCTCATTGAAGGACACGTTGGAAAAGACAAAAGTCAAAATCAGAAATTATTTAAAGTCAAACAGCGTCAATGAAACTGTTTGTCTGTGGCGCGAAACGGCAACTAATTTCGAAAAAGTTGATTGAATGCTTGCGGAGTCAGGTTCGGTGAAACAGTCACTCAAATTGCTGGAAGAGACAAGAATTGCATCCAGCCTCGACTATGTGTTTAATCTCCAATGCCAAGGTTTGTTAATAAAAGCAATAAATGAGCACATTTCTCCATCACAAACGTCGCGTTGGTCAAAGATCGTCGAAGGATTACCGGGAGTGCTCTATATGTTTACTAGAAAGTATTTAATACAACAACTTCCCACTAATGCAAACTTATTTAAATGGGGTAAGTCAACAACATTTCTATGTCCACTAAGCAATCATTGCCAAACAAACATGTTGTTTCGAACTGTGATTCCACAGCGGCTCTCGCAAGGTACACGGACAGGCATAACAAACTGCTGTCGTTGATTGTCAACTGGTTAAAGATTTTTGCACCATCAGACTTGCATATTTGCCGATCTTAATGCAGAAAGCTTCCTCACCTAGCTTCCTCACGTGAATACAAACGCCAGAAATATAAAAACTTGAAATTGAACTTAAATTCAGTCTACAATAACCGTTCGCTAATTATTAACTCATTTGAAATATCACCTGTGGGTTTTTATAACAATTTTAATCTAACTTTATTTAAAATTTTATGGCCGAAATCTTTTAATGAAAAATTGATTAACGCGGTAATTAGCTCGTCATATAGCATATATTGTGACAGAAATACTACTTAACCGATTTTAAATATATTTTTTACTCTCAAGCACTTGTTGATCAAAGAGCATGAGAGGATCGTACATTATATTTTATATTTTATTTATTTACACTCTAATATATAATTAATAATTTTCGATGGATTCCACTTGGATTTTGTTTTTCGGTAAATAAAAGAATGTTCCCATTATATTAGTTTAAGCATAACTTCAAGCGAGCAATCTGAACGGATTATATATTGGGCGAAACAATTCATCTTCTAAATCTGCGTAGATGTCAACACTTGGTTTTGCACAGGCTCTAATGTTATCAACAATCGGTGAAAGAATTTTCTTCAAGTGCCTGGTCAATGCTGAGGTTCAGTTGCTGTTGGAAAAACGTGTTTAACTGTTTGTGTTAACTTGCAGATGGGGCAATAAGGCTTGCAGATAGGGTATAAGGTGTTCATTGATTTATCGCATCTAAGTAAATTTGAATTTGTAGAAATTTGCTGAATGAGATAAAGTGAATCTTAGATACTTTCATTGATGATTTGAACCATCGCACTATCTCGTACTCTTTTATCTCGTACTCTTATTATATACTCTATTGACTTCACAATGGTGCCATAACATTACGAGGTGACTGAAATCTGACTCGTGTTATTGATTTTTTATAGATTTCACTATCAGATTTGTTCATTGTTTTCAGGAATGAAGTTGTTAATTTTTGTGTGTATGCGCAAATGAGCATATTTGTGTGCGCGTGTGAGCTCACAGAGAATCTAATTTCTTCGTAGGCGTTTCGTTTGAGGTACACGCTGAGCTTTTGTTTTAACATTTTGGCGGAAGGCTGCAACGAGGTTATGTTGAGGTTTCCTGGTTTCTATGGAAACGAAATGACTTTAGCAACACTGATGCTTATGGGCGAAGACAGCCAATCTCTTAACCTGTTACTAGTTGGTCAAAAGTATTTGAAACTAGGTAAGTGAAATATTATAGATGCGTAGTTTAAATGATATTTGGAGGGAACAAACCATCTAAGAATTTTCAGTTTCCACTGAACTCTTGTGTTTTATCTGTGCAGCACATTTTTGATTTTATCATGCAATTATCGATTTCACTAATGTATGTAAAATAATCTCCAATAATAACATCGTCTATTGTCAAATGAGGTAAAAATTGTTTATATCTACCGTCGACATTTCTTATCACAAATGTGCAACATTTGTCTGTTCTCATCTTCATTCTCGTCCACTGGCACTATGACTGGTTAAGATCAACCAATTTTTGAATTTCCTGTTTTATTTGCAATGATAGCTGAGTCATAACCAAATTAAATTACAGCTATGATTCAAATATTAACTTGGCTGTAAGCCTCCATATATGCCCACTGTAAGAGTTCTTTTCCCGGTTCAGCACACAAATTTTTAATCCATTTTTTGATACTTGATAACGAGTTTTTATTAGCTCAAAATACAAAAACAAATAAAACTAACCAAGCAAAAGTTTCACTGTTTAAGCAGCGATATAGGTGTTTGTTGTTGTATGAAGCACCACTTCACTAATTGCTGAACAACGTGTGTTAGTCTGTTGTATGTAGAATGTTCCGTAGATGCCCGACGGGCCACCAACGTTTAGTTATCACTTTTCCTGCCGTTATTACCAACCGACTGCTGACTATGAACAACTTAAAACATTAATTCTCCCACTACCAACTTACCACGTTAACTTTAATATCTTTGAACGTAAAATTCTCCACTAATACGATGTGTAGTTAATTGTAAACATGTTTACAGCATTTTTGACTACATTGTTTTGTTGTAATTCAATTTTTTTACCTTTTTTTATGAACGCACCCTTGGATGTTTTGATATTTTTAATCTCAATTCACTTTGTGTAGCTTGATTTAATAACTAATTATTTTTCGGCTCCTGTTATCCATTATTTCGTCTACCACGTCTATGTAAATCAATCAATCAATCAATCAATCAATCAATTAGCTTATAAAGCGCTATTTCCGCGATGGTCAACAGCGCTCCTCAATGAATTTTGAAAACAGATGGGTCTTGAGATCCGCTCTGAACTTCGCAAGTGATGGAGAAATAGTTAGAGAAGTAGGTAGAGAGTTCCAGAGAAAAGGACCAGAAAAAGCAAAAGCAGATTTGGCAAAAGAGTGTTTAACACGAGTTAAGAAAAAGCGAGAAGAAGAAGACGATCGTAAACCGGGGCGTTTAGGTTCAATTAATATATCTGATAAGTACTTAGGAAATAATTTAGATTGAGACTTATACATGAACGTGCAAATTTTAAAAATTATTCTATATTTTATAGGTAGCCAGTGCAAGAGAACAAGATATGGAGATATATGAGAAAAGAAAGGGGCACGAGCAACTAGACGAGCAGCAGAGTTAAAAGCTTTACTTAAAGGATAGAGTATAGAGTCAGGAAGACCATAGTAGAGCGAGTTACAATAATCAATCCTAGATAAGACTAACGAAGTAACAAGAAGGAGAAGAGTAGGATCATCAAGAAAAGGCAAAAGTTTTTTTATTCTACGTAGATGAAAGTAAGAACTTCTAGCAACACTATTAATCTGAGAAGAGAGAGACATAGTAGAATCAAAGATAAAACCTAGACTACGAAACTTATGAGAGACATCAAGAGTTTTAGAATCAGGTAAGATAATAGGAGGAATAGTAATTGAGTGTTTAGATTTATTAAAACAAATTAATTCAAACTTAGAAGGATTAAGTTTAAGACACATAGAATCAGACCAAGCGATAATCGAAGAAAGACATAGAGATAAATTATGAAGAACACTATTGAGATTAGATGGAGGAAAAGAAGTATAAATATAAGAATCATCAGCATATAGTTGACTAGAGAAAGAAAAGTTATTAATAATACGAGGTAGTTCAGAAGTATAGAGTATAAATAGAAGAGGGTCAAGGATAGAACCCTGAGGTACCCCGAAAGTAAGAGTAGAGGAGTTAGAAGTAGAATTATTGAGAACAACAGAAGAAAAACGATTACAGAGATAAGAAGAAAACCAAGATAGACAAGAATCAGTAATATTAAAAGAAAGATGCAGCAGTCTCAAGAGAATAGTATGGTCAACAGTATCAAAAGCTGAAGAAAAGTCAAGAGCAAGAAGAAGAGTAAGATTACTATTGTCACTAGAGAGAAGGATATCATTGTGTATTTTAAGTAAAGAAGTTTCAGTACTGTGAGCAGGTCTGAAACCAGATTGGGATACAGGTAGCAAAGAGTTAAAGTCTAAATAGGATGAGAGTTGATTAAAAACAACTTTTTCTATTATTTTAGAGATGAAAGTAATATTAGTTACAGGTCTATAATTAGATAAAGAGGTAGGATCTAGGGATGTGTTTTTAAGAATAGGAATAACAATAGAATTCTTATAAGAAGTAGGAAATTTAGAGGTGGAAAGAGATAAATTAACTAATTTGAGAATGATTGGATAAAATATTGAAGAGAATTCTTTAAGTAAATTGGAAGGAAGTAGATCTAGAGAACAGGTTGTAGACGACGTAGAATTAATAATTTTAGTTAGTTCTAAAAGATTTATTGGAGTAAATACAGAGAAAGATTCAGTAGTAAGTTTAGTAAAGTTATGAGAAGGAAAATTAGAATTAGATGTTCTTAAAGAAGTAATTTTATTTACAAAAAAGTCATGAAACTGTTGAGCAGAGAAAGATGAGTGAGAAGATTTTTCATGTAGAAGTTTAGATAGAACAGACCACCTATTTTTAGATGTTGAAGCAGATGTTATAGAATTTCTAAGAAAAGTAGAGTGTTTAGAGAATAGTAGATATTTATAATTAATCAATTCAGATTCATAGATAGAATAAAGAGAGTTAGATGGATTTAACCTATAGGCTTTCTCCAGTCTTCTAAGACTTTTCTTGGCTACTACACAAGCATAATCAAACCAAGGAGCCTTACGAGAATAGAGCCTATAAGTAAAAGATTTAAGAGGAATAAGCTTATCAAGAATAGAAGTAATGTAGATATTAAAAGCACAGACAAAATCATCAACATCAGAAAATAAGGTAGTATCAAAAATAGGTTCAGTAAGAGATTGAAGAAAAATATCTTTATTAAGAGAAGACCAGCATCTTTTAGAAATAGACATAGATGAATTTGAAGGAAGAAAATCTAATGAAAAAACAGATTCAATAAGAAGGTGATCAGAGTAAGGAACAGAGCTAGCAGAGATATTAATAGGCTTAGAAAAAGATGAAGCTATTATAAAATCAATAGTGTTACCAGAAGTATGGGTAGGAAAAGAACAATATTGAGTTAA